AGAATCAAATATACAAAAACAACTAAACTAACTAAATATTAAGAATATATGCACATAATATATAATAAATATTCTAAATAGCAAAAATATTTCACACATAACAAACTAAAGATAATCACTACAGCACTGCACTTAGAACAGAAAACACAAACTAAAATTAAAACCTAACCTTGATGCAAAGTCATCAATAATGTCATCATATGAAATCTGCTCCCCTACTGAGTGGTTGATACTAATCAGAGCCAGGTTAGTGAGCCGCCCCTGAAACATAGGTGACCTCAGGTATGACTTGATCAAGTTTTGAAAAGCTCCTCTCAGCTTGAGCCACAGTGACTGGCAGAGCAGTCCAAAAGTTGGGGTAGATCTCCAATAGATCTTTATCATGATCCATAATATTTTACAATTGCCTCTGAAATTGTAATTTAAACTGACATTAAAAAAACTGTAGACTACCAAAAATGCCAACTTTTACAGAACAAATCATGTAAAAAATAATCAGTGCAGCCATCTGCAATAAATAAACAGGATAGTTAGTGGTGACTGGGAGTTTTCTTCTGCTTGTAGAGTTGTTTTATTTATTATTATGTGAACTTGATCAACATGTGTTTGTTGTTGTTCAGGCAGGCCACGGGCTGCAGCGAGCATTTAACAAATCCTAGTTTGAATCAATAAAAAACGATTCAAGGAATTTATTCGAACCATTTGAATATTCGTTTCAATATTTCAGCCCTATTAGCTCTGTTAGCAACTAGTTGACCGAATTTAACCGTTAAAATCCCAGTTAACTGGTTCAAAAAATGTAAAACATTCATCATGAGAGCGAACATACCTTTATCTTTCTCCTCTTTTTTTCTTTTTTATTCCTGAATCGGGCACCTGTTGGTTTTAGCCTTTTTATGTTCATCTCTTCTGTTTGGCTCTTGACTCAATAAGTTTCCTTTAGTCAGGACTAAACAATTTGACCTTGATGGGGGGGTGACCACAAAATCGTTTTGTTTTTCCTTTTTTTATTCGGCCATTTCACACAATTCAGAAACACCTGAAAGAATGATAGGCCTGTGTTTATGATATTATGAATGAAATGTGGAAGAACATCAAGATGTGATCGACTTTAGCCATGTTGATACAGTTGATTCAGCCCCTACCCGCTCATTTCATTTGGACCCACCCAGAGGTGAATTCCCCCGCCGCACCCCTCCCCTACCTCTTCTTCATACACACACGGTGCACGGAGCGCCTGCAGCTGCAGGGGGCGCCAACTTGCTGTTTCCAATCCAGACACTGTCATATGACAGATAATAGAAAACCTCGGTGCGGCGCAGATTTCCTTTTTTTTTTTTTTTACTCAGCGCTTGTGCGCCCCTTTTATGTCATGAAAAAATGCCGCCCCGGGCAACTGCCCTGTCTGCCCGTGCCTAAAACCGCTACTGCTCAGCGGTGAGGAATGCTGATGAAGGTGAGTGCTGAGATCTACGATGGAGCTGAGGCAATAGACGGGCTCTGTGGTCAGACAGACTGAGGTCGGGCAACAGGCAGACGGGCTCGGTGGTGAGGCAGGCAGAGGTCAGTAACGAACAGGCAGGCAGACCGGTTCAAACGCTCGAAGGACTCACACTGAGCAGCAGGAGCCAGGTGCTTAAATAGGGAGCAGCACAGTAGGGGTGGGCAATATAAACCATATAAGATAGAAATGACATCAAATCGGGTAATGATGGAGTTTTTGGCTATATCGCAATATCGCGATAACACATGACGTCACTAAGATGTGCACCCTGCTGACATTGGGACAACAGAATGGCAGTGACTGCAAGCCTGGAGTGGGCGGAGGAGGAGGCCTATATGCCCTCGTGTGGCATATATTTGCCACATGAGGATATTTAAAAGCATGTCATTTTGACATATATAAACAGAGGAAAAAATATATCGCAATATATGTCGTTACCGCACATGCTTCAGATTGTATAGCAATATAGATTTGAGGCCATATCGCCCAGCCCTACAGCACAGGTGACATTAATCAGCTAGATGACTACTGCTGCAGGAAGACAGGAATACACAGAGGTCATGGCATGATCATGACAAGATTGGCCTCAAAGGGTCGATCCTAACCCAATCATCCATCCTTGCTGAGCACTTTTGACTAAAGGATGCATTAATTAGAATAAACTGTCAGTAATAAGGACACGCCTTTTTTCTACTCTTACTAGAGTCGGCTTAAAACATGGCTGGTCAATAGTCATCAATGTGATCACTAATTATTATTAAGAGTTTTATCGATAGATGTATTTTTAGGTCAGGGACCTGCATTATGTTAGTCTTTGATTTCTTTCTTTTGAAACTGATGAAATATTTGAAAATAGTTTTATTTGTGTCCTTTTGCTGTTTTACGCATGTCTGAACCATGTTCTGTACTGCATTGTCCCTTTGTTTTTACTGTGTGTGTGTGGGGGGGGGGGACTATGGCTGGAAACTAGCTCTTTGGTAACATAGTTGCATCGAGGATTTAAATCTCAAGTTTGATCACGATACGGATACTTTGTTTTTGTGGCCCCCACACTTTGAAATGCCTCCGCCCTTTCTGTCAGACGGGCACCGTCCCTCACTTCCTTCAAGTCTCTACTGAAGACCCCTTTTATAACTTGGCATTTGGCCAGTGGTTGTTTATTTTTCGCCCTGCTTTGTTTATTTTTCGCCCTGCTTTGTTTTAATCTGTGTCATCTGTTGTATCTTAAGCCTGCTTTGATTGTACAGCACTTGGGTCAGCTTGCACGCTGTGCTTTAATATGCCTATTTAATATGGTGTTGTACCAAAAAGACAGTAAATGTTTGCATGTATCAATAAAAATCCATACGCTGCTTTCAAAAATAGATTCACGTTCTTAATGCTACATAAATATCGCCATATTTCAGTTTATCGATATTTTCTTAGATACATAGAAGACATGTAACCACTGGGTCTCCTTCCTTTGGGACGCTCCTGGGAAACCTCCAGATGGAGGCGACTAGGAGGCATTGTCACCCGATGCCTAACCAAGTCTGGTGTTTTTAGATGTGGAGGAACAGCAGCTAGCAGAAGATGCAACTGAACTTTTTAAATTTCAACCTAAACCTTTTGTATTACAATATTTCCAATTTCAGAGTTTTTAAAGATACACGTAACATTTCTGTCTTCTGCAGTTTGCAAGTTCAAGGCTCATAAGCGCTGTGCTGTTCGCTCCACCAACAACTGCAAATGGACTACACTGGCCTCTATAGGAAATGACATCATTGAGGACGAGGATGGGGTTAGACGTTCTAATCACTTTGGAAAAATTGCCTTCTCCCACAAATAAACAATCAATCTGGTTAATGTAGTTATTTGTTTTACACAAAATTAGCTTAGATTGATCTCCAGCTGTGCACATCGTTCTCTCTCTGCTGTCACATTTATTTACTGTTATTGTCGTTTTGCTGCAGGTGTCCATGCCGCACCAGTGGCTGGAAGGCAACCTTCCTGTCAGTGCCAAATGTGTGGTGTGTGATAAGACCTGCGGCAGCGTGCGGCGGCTGCAGGACTGGCGCTGCCTCTGGTGCAAGGCCATCGTAAGTGGAACTCATTTATTCTCCACCTCTGAGAGCTGAACTCCAACCTGTCGTATTAAGTGCCGATAAATGATGTGGAAAACTGAGATCTCCATCGGAACTTGCCAAAGTTGGAAAATAAAAACAAGGCTAATGTGTCAAACTCCTATTTCAGGTGGTTTATACACCAGAGATTAGATGTTCCTCCAGTTGTCTTCTTGTTCCTGGAGGTGTGTGAGGCTTGACGTGAGTCATCAGAGTAATGGGACGGCTCTTAAAATAGCAGCAGAGATCCCAGAGGAGACGGGGAGCGGCCTCTGATAAATTAACGCCATCGTTTTTAACCACGGTACATTTAGTACAACCTTTTACAGGTTGGGTGATTCATTCTCTGTGGGAAAGTAGAAGGACATTTAAGGACACGGTCGAAGCACCCTCCGAGTGTGCATGCTAGTAGGATTTACTCAAAAGCAGATTTATTTTAGTTCAAAGCTGCATCTTCTGCTCGTTTTATATCGGTGACGTGAGACTCGTCTCACATTCCTGGTGTTCAAACACGTTTCCTCCCAGATGAGTTCACATCCTAATTCAAAATGATAAAAATGCGACTTTGTAAAGTCTGTCTCTCCTCCAGCTGTGACTGTTTGAGATGACAAAAGTTTCCCTGAACCGCTGCAGAGGAAACTTTAGTGACAAGTTTAATAAATGGTACGGTCACACATATCTTTGTTAATAAAGTCCCAAAATGTCCTAAAAATGTCTTGTTTCATCTGTGATCTGGTTGCCAGCGTTTCTGAAAGCTGTCTCCCATTTCTTGAACCTTTTGACTCTCAGAAGCAAAGTTGAGAAGGACAAAGTAGCTTCACCTTCGTCTGTTGCAAAGGCAAGCCGTGATATCCAGGTTGCGATTGCCATGTTGGAATGTCGGAGCAACAGTGTTCCTGCCTACATACATTTTTTTAAAAGCATGATGATACATTTCAATATAGTGTATAAGAAAACGTTATATTTGCTAGAGGGGAACTTTGTGAATTAAGAATTTGTACATGTCTTCCCCGGGTCCAGGTCACAGGGCAGCAGCAGCAGGGAAGCCCAAACTTTCCTCCTCCCAAATATTTTCCTCCCATGGGACCTAAAGGTGTTCTAGTGAAATAATCCCTAACTAGTGTTCTGAAATTAAAAACCGAAAACTAAAATGAATATTGTAGTTGTATTTTTATGTTTTTATCGTGAGGACGTCCTTTTCACTTACACAAAGATGGCGGGACTTTAAAAGGACTTTTCAGACTTTTGAATTGTTATGCTCGCGATTGCCCCCCCCCCCCCCCCCAAGCCAAAAGCGTAACGGCAGCTTCAATAGTAGGCTCGTGCACGAGGCGCACATGCTGTACGTGCACACTCCTTAACGAAAATAACAGCTGAGACCGTCCCGTGTGTGTGTGTGTGTGTGTGTGTGTGTGTGTGTGTGGCCCAGAGGACAGAGGACAGGAGAACATGCAGCTAATTAATTAAATAATTTGGTTCTGTACCTTTCTCTTCAGCACAGCCGACAAAGGTTTAAGATGGGTCAGTCCTCCTGCATGCTCAGATCATTCCCTTCCCTTGCTTGAAAAACTGTTCCAAAATGAAAGTTGAACCCACATCTTTTTCATCTGTGAATTCAATGCCGTTCGGCGAGTCTCAAATAAAAATTTGGGCATCTTATTGTAAAAAATATATACCATTAATGTAAAAAAGAAACTAAATAAACTATGTTCACACCAGAATCGAACCCAGGTTTTCTACATGAGAGTCAGCAATTTTACAAGGTGAGCTACACACCAGTAATATTCATAGCATCGGTAACTTTTATATCCTTGATGACAGCTGAAACATTGTCAAAACAAAGAACGGTTCGGAGCGAAAATGGCTATTTTGTTGCTAATTTGCAGGAAATATCGAGAAGAAAGTAGCTAGGGGTCCTCAGAAATGTAGCTAGGTTCATCACTAGGCGTTAGGAACAGCGACAAAGTCGCTGAGTTGGCACTACCTCTCTCTCTGCTGCTAAATCTACGGATAGCAAATGCTACGGGCTATGCCTGAGCGTGAACGCGCATGAAGCAGCCTGCTCGACCCGAGCAGCTCTCTTTTTCTGTGATTTTACAGAAAAACAGGCAATCACAGTAAAAATGCCAGGGCTCATTCTACAGGACCAGGGCATTGCAGGAGAATGTATGAAGAAGAAATGTATTATTTCTACAGATGTTTTGGCTGTCAAACTTCCATAACATCCCTTTAAGCTAGCACTGAAACCTGCCACTAGATGGCAGACTTTTGTATGGTTTGATCGGATTTTTAGCTGATATCAATAATCCCGACAGTCAGCACCCAGCGAGATACTGGATTTAATCTAAACTTGTTGTGATGCCCTCTAGGGGCCAAACAATTCCATTACAGTTATAGACGTTTATGCCTGACAGGTGATCAAGGTCTGAGTATAAATAGGGAGTTCTTTTCTATCAGCTATTCATGTTAAAAACCTGAACGTACGACAAAACCACCAGCCGGCGGCGTGCTCTCCTTTTCCTTGTTTAACATTAAAATGTTTTTAAACAGCTTCTGGAACCGTGGTGACACTGATCTGAAGAACTCTGTTTGGTTTAGCAGCTAATTGTTAGCAGGTGTAAAGTTTAGTGCACTAACTCTTAGCGACGGCCGTGTGCACGTTTACATACAATGTAAAGTCTGATCCTCAAGATGTGAAAACACGAAGACAATGAATCAGTGGCATTTGTAAAGGTTACAGACCAGGCATTTGGTGGGTTTCAGTGGGATGTAACGACCTTTCTGCTTCTACTGGACTATAGAAATACTGTGTAGACCACTAACTGTGTGTGCGTGTGCGTGTGTGTGTGTGTGTGTGTGTGTGTGTGTGTGTGTACTCACAGGTCCATAACAGCTGTAAAGAACAAATGGGGAAGGTGTGTCCTTTGGGTCAGTGTCGAGTCTCCATCATTCCTCCCACTGCACTTAACAGCATCGACTCAGACGGTGAGACAGCGCCCACCACCTCCCCCGCTGCCTGTTTGCTTCACACCAGGGCACAGTCGGGTTCAGACCTGACAAATGTCGCCCTTCCTGTCTTAAAATCAGTTTCCTTTACAGACGGAGAAAATCTAAATGGCTCTGGGCTCATGTTTAACTCTTTGTAGTTTGGCCATGTCAGAGAACTGCTTTCGAAGTGTGTTTTTGTGCAAAGGTTCAAAATAACGGCGTGTTATAGAGATCTTCCTTCTTGATTAAGAGTAGTAGGAGTCAAAGTGCACCTCCGCTATCTTAAAATGAGTCTAACTTCCAAATTTTTACAATGAACCAGGCTTTTTTTTCTTCCCCCAAACCTTTATGAGGCTTTTTCTCCACTCAGCGTAGCTCAGCTTGGCTCGACGTGACATACTCTACAGGGGTTGGACGGGTTCTCGGATGGTTAGCATTTACAAGTTTTACACCCAATCCACATGTGCTTTGTGGATTTGGAGAAGGCTTATGACTGTGTCCCCAGGGGCACCCTGTGGGGGACGCTCCAGGAGTATGGAGTGGGTGGCTTTCTGTTAAGGGCCATTCAGTCCCTTTACCAGAGGAGCGTGAGTTTGGTCCGCATAGCCGGTAGTAAGTCGGACCTGTTCCCAGTGAGGGTTGGACTCCGCCAGGGCTGCTCTTTGTCACCGGTTCTGTTCATTACCTTTATGGACAGAATTTCTAGGCGCAGCCGTGGTGTGGAGTGTGTCGAGTTTGGTGACAGGAGAATCTCGTCTCTGCTTTTTTCGGATGATTTGGTCCTCCTAGCTTCATCCAGCTCTGACCTTCAGCTCTTGCTGGGTAGGTTCGCGGCCGAGTGTGAAGCGGCTGGGATGAGGATCAGCACCTCCAAATCTGAGACCATGGTTCTCGACCGGAAAATGGTGGCTTGCCAACTCCGGGTCGGGGGAGAGGTCCTACCTCAAGTGGAGGAGTTCAAGTATCTCGTGGTCTTGTTCACAAGTGAGGGTAGGAGGGATCGGGAGATCGACAGGCGGATTGGTTCGGCGTCTGCAGTGATGCGGACGCTGAGCCGATCTGTCGTGGTGAAGAGGGAGCTGAGCCAGAAAGCCAGGCTCTCTATTTACCGGTCGATCTACGTCCCAATCCTCATCTATGGTCATGAGCTTTGGGTAATGACCGAAAGAACGAGATCGCGGATACAAGCGGCCGAAATGAGTTTCCTTCGTAGGGTGGCCGGGCTCAGCCTTAGAGATAGGGTGAGGAGCTCGGACATTCGGGAGGGACTCGGAGTAGAACCGCTGCTCCTCCAGATGGAAAGGAGTCGTTTGAGGTGGTTTGGGCATCTGGTCAGGATACCTCCCGGACGCCTCCCCGGGGAGGTGTTTCGGGCATGTCCTGCCGGCAGAAGGCCCCCGGGTCGACCCAGGACACGTTGCAGAGGTTACATCTCCAACCTGGTCCGGGAACGCCTTGGGGTCCTGCCGGAGGAGCTGGTGGAGAAGGCCGGGGAGAGGACGGCCTGGAGCTCCCTTGTTGGGATGCTGCCCCCGCTATCCGGACCCGGATAAGCGGAGGAAGACGACGATGACACACAAGCACTTTAAAATGGCCAAAATAGCCATTAAAGTTTGACACACACACACACACACACACACACATATATATATATATATATATATATATATATATATATATATATATATATGAGGTGCTGTATTTAGCTTAATATTTTAACTAGAATTGTAGATTTCAGTTATTTTCAAAGGGGATAAGTTGTGACGGCTGGTTCCAGGTTTCTGGAAGGCCACCTCCGCATCGTGCTCCAGCCCTCTTTTGGTCCTCGTCAACTCCAAGAGTGGAGACAACCAGGGGGTCAAGTTCTTGCGCAAGTTCAAGCAACTCCTCAACCCAGCTCAGGTCTTTGACCTGATGAATGGAGGACCTGAACTCGGGTACGTTTTTATGAAGCCTGTTGGCGTATAAATGTGAATTTTTGCTGCTTTCTCTCGTCTCATGCCGTGCCACTCTGTCTGCCTGCAGCCTGCGACTCTTCCAGAAGTTTGTGACGTTCCGTATTCTGGTGTGCGGAGGTGATGGCAGCGTGGGCTGGGTGCTCTCAGAGCTCGATAAACTCAACCTCCACAAACAGGTGAGAGTAGTGGAATGAGAGGAGGAGGAGGGGATGAGTAGATTTGGTAACACTTGGAGAGAAAAAAGGATAGAAGGATGATGGACCACTGCTCTATTAAACTAATTGATGTTGTGGAATTAATCAGGATTAATGAGCATCATGCTAGATCGACATGGTTGCAATTTGGGGATTAGTTATTTCATAACATGTTAAATGAGTTTTGGTTTGGGGTCATTTAAGGTCATCTTGGGCCAGTCGTCATCAGCTGTGTGGTTTAAAGTGTATAAAACTCCACATCTGGTCAGTACGGTAGCCGAGATGTTCTGCAGGACACAGTGTGAGCTTTTGTCCTACAGAGAATAAAGAGATTGAAGTAATTTATTTTAGTGAATCTTTGGCTATTCCCATCATTTTCCTGCTTTTTTTTCCTCTATTCTCCAGTGTCAGCTGGGCGTTCTGCCCCTCGGTACAGGTAACGACCTGGCTCGGGTCCTGGGCTGGGGGGGGCTGTGTGACGACGACGCTCAGCTGCTGCAGATCCTGGAGAAACTGGAGAGGGCCACCACCAAGATGCTGGACCGGTAGGACCAGATGGAATGATGATGTCAAGTCTGGAATTTTTATACTGATTTTTATGATAATTATAAATATTAGAATTTTCTAAAAAATGAATGTAAATGAGTTGATCTGTGATGGAGAGGCTAAGGATGAACGGCTTTTGCAAACAAAATAATTATTTAAACATGTTTATCATTAATTCTTTCCATTTTTGACTGGAGAAACAATTAAAATAGAAAATGGGAATTATTATTATTTTACATTTTTGTTTTGGTTGCAATAAAACACTTTCAGTTTTAGCCTTGGATCAAAAATCCGAAATGGAAAAAAAAGGCCACAGGACTGAATTAGACTGTAATATTTCATGGCTCTGGTTTACGTGGTCAGATGTCGTGCAGATGTAGTTATCGCTCGCATAACGTATATCCCTTGCTGTTTTTATTTTGTGTGGTGCCATTCAGACTCCAACTGCTAGGTGGCAGCAGTCTTTACCACCTTCATTCTGACGACACTTGCAAATATTCTTACTTTCAGTATCACGATATATCGTATTGTATTGTGATATGTATCGTATCAGATTCTTGCCATTACACACCCATACTACTGAAAGTATTATTCTTGAAGTAGGCATATTTTAGATTTTTATTCAGTTGTACAAGTGAGTTGATAGCAATGAAGACCACTTTCAAGGCTTGAATGTTTTTTTGCACATTTTTGTAAATTGCAGGATCTAGTGGACACACAAATACAGAAATGCACTTCTTTATACTATAAACTGTCCCCAGCAACCTCTTCTCCTCAGCTCTCCATAAATGGAATAGAATAGAATTTTTTGAATGGGGTTTGGTAAACATTTACTAGCTGTGGTTTTATTTTTCTTTTGCTTTTATATTAATCATCCCACATTTTTATTTCTAGTCCATACAACATTAGCTCATGTTTTTAATAAATGCATCATTTAAACTCAATCATTCATACGGCTTTAGTCAGCTGAAAAGTAGCATCACAATTAGGATATCACCACCATGTTTTAACTAAATAATGATTATAAAATCAACCAAGCCATATCAGTTGATTGTTTTTTCAATAACTGAACACAAAGACTTTCAACTGAAATAATCTTTTAGTTCCTTGAGAAAAACCCCAAACTCACCAACAGAGACTTGATTATTTTTCTAAGTAAAAGTGAGAAAATGCTTTCCTGTGAAGAGGGCTGGGCTGGGCTGGGCTGGTCTGGGCTATCTCCAGCGGTCATTGGGCAATCAGGCAGGGTACACCCTGGACAGAGAGCCAGTCCATCGCAGGGCAACACAGAGACACACAGGACAAACAATCATGCAAACACACACTCACACCTAAGGACAATTTAGACCGACCATTTAACCTAACAGTCATGTTTTTGGACTGTGGGAGGAAGCCGGAGTACCCGGGGAAACCCACGCATGCACAGGAAGAACATGCAAACTCCATGCAGGTAAGAAGCGAACCCAGGACCTTCTCGCTGCAAGGCAACATCTCTAACCACTGCACCACTGTGCAGCCCGCGTGACAAAATACAAAAAGTATATTGACAAAAAACAGAAAAGACACGTTTCAAAGGAGATGAAAACAGATAAAAGAGAAACAGTTCTGCCATATTTTAGAAAACCTTTCAGAGAGAAACGCACCAGAACAGAGATGGCTCAACATCAAAGGAAATGTACTTTAACAAAAACATGACCATGAAACCATCACAATAAACATTGTTTAGCCGTTTTTTGGGTAGAATGTTCAATAAAGGCATCATATTGTTGAAAATTGTAAATCTACTGAGGTATGAAAAAGTTGACACTGATACGTGTTCCAGGTGGAGCATCCTGACCTTCGAGGTGCCGACAACCAATAAAATCAGTCCGGTAGTGAAGGAAGACGACAGCCATGATTCTCCTCTGCAGGTAAACCAGCCGTCAGAACTTTTACAGGAGAGGCCGTGTGATTTGTGACAGACTGCATCCAAAGAAGCCAGAGTTCTGAAAGTTATGAGATGTTTTGGGGGAAAACATCCATTGAAAGTAAATTGAACCTGACAGGACACCAAGGCAATCAGACCTAAGCCACGGGGAGCCGTGTGGATACTGATCAGCTCAGTATATAAAGAAGACTTCACAAGCTGCCTTACATTGTAGTGAAATCACATGTTTTTCTTTTAGATTTCTCAAGGGCTCAGATTATTTAATCTTTTTTTTAAATATAAAATTATTTTATTTAACATATTTGTCATTTTGACTGTGGCTCTTTTTTTGGAAAGGGGTTTAAATTTGACTAAAGTTTGTACCCTTGAAGGTCAAGTTAAGATTTGTTCCACTTCATAATGTCATTAGGATGGATCTAAAATTACCATCAAAAGAAAATAAAAACATATTTCCAATAAAAATTCCAGTGAAGGAAAAAGAGCGTCATAGTAAATTATAAACTTTTTGCATTAATACAAGTTATTTGCTTTACTAAGTCAAAAAGTTTCACCAAATATCTAAATTTACATCAAAATAAAAAAAAAATGAAAAAGTACTTAAATCCCGGACGAACCCCCATCCTGGCTCACGTTGATAAAACTATTCAAATGTTTAAAAGTTCTTATTTTGTAAATTTGATATTTTCTTACCTGCTTATTAAAACCATACTAGTCAAACATTTAGACTCTCCTGTACCGTCATATTGAGTCACTGCATCCCAACCTTTAATGGGTACTGTGATAAAATTTTAACTGCAGTTGCACATTTTTGCTGCATAAAACATCTGAAACTGATCTGCTGTTGCTCCATCCCACCAAAAATCTGAAAGGTTTCTTCTTTGAGTTGCCCAAATAATTACATTTATTTACTCAAAACCACAGAGAGATGATCTCCTTTTCCCTAAATATTTGTTAATCAATAATGTAATAGCTGCAAGACAGTGGAAATTTTATATCCTTGCATTGATACCAAAATCATGAAGGGTCAAGGCTTAGTCAGCCATTAGTTTATTAATGTATAAATACTCTTAGCAGATAATAAGGAAGACGTGAATGGATCTTTACTGACCTTAATGATATTATTGTGTTTTCCTAAAATCCCTTCTTTTTGAAAGGAGTACAAAATGACTTCCGTGTGTTTTTCTTTGGTTTTCTGCAACACATAATCCAAATCCTGCCTTTTTTTCCTGTTTCAGGTCCACATCAGTCAGTATGCAGACTCTGTGGCGTGCCACCTTGCCAAGATCTTGGACTCGGACAAGCACAGCGACGTCATCTCATCTGCAAAGTACGTTCTTTTATTTAAATAAGAAAAAAAAACTAACAATCACCAAGGGACACGAGACGGGAGAAACGAGGATGATAATGAGACGAGGAGAGTCGGCACATATTGATTTTCTGTTCAAGTCTCTCAAAGGTACATCTTAGTAGGAGTAAGGGTGAAAGAGATGCATGAACCAGTATTTAGGGGTCATTAGAGCGTCCTCTGTAGGGACAAGCTCAGTGTTTCTTCTGTGTGCTGTGACCTGACTGTGACCTCGAGGGATTTTTCACACTTGTTCTCACCCAAGAAATAATTAAAACAGAATACATTTAAAAAGTTTTCACTACTAGATGGTTAAAACCTCAAAAAATCTGTCCAGATTTGATTTCAATTCCATTTAGATTTGAGGATGTTGAGCTCTCGTAAAAGGCGGTTGTGAGTAGAAATTCCTCCTCCTGAAACAAATGTGGGCCTATTTCAGCAGCAGCAGCAGTAATGGAGGGCTGCTGTCGGGCTCTAATGTTCCCTTTAAACATTAACAAAGACCTTTGGCTGCTAAATGCATTCACACTGACACCCGACGGCCAAATTAGACGAGAGAAGCTTCAGCTGAGAAGTGCTCGTTTCTGAATAGAAGAATTTATTTCATGTATAATTCAAAAGAGGTGTCAGCTTTTGCAGTTCTAAATAAAATGGGAGCTGATCGGCGTTTGAGCGGCTCCAATTATTTAGGAGTATTTAATATTTGCCGAGTGCAGTGAGTTTGGAGAAATCTCCCTGCTGAGTCACAGTAGCGATGTAACCGCTGTGAGTAAACGGTGACTGTGTGGAGGCAACTGCGCTGACAGGCAGGTAGGAGGCTCTGAAAACACAATGTGTGTGTGTGTTTGTGTGTGAGAAATCCAGCACAGTGAATCACCTAATCCTCCATGAGGTAACCGTGTTACTCGTCCTGGCAGGTTCCTGTGTGGGACGGTGAACGACTTTGTAGCGGAGGTGGGGAAGGCGTACGAGAGAGCTACAGAGAACAAGGAGGAGGCAGACGCCATGGCAAAGAAGGTAAAAACGCCTGGATGTGGTGTTTTTACTGTGTGAATGACTGATTGTGGTGTAAACTCTGGCCATTTTCCTCTGACCTCTGGCATCATTGTGCGACTGCTGCAGTCAGACAATCCTAGAAGATCATCAGATTCAGAGATACCAGCCCGTCTGGCACCAACAACCGTGCCGCGTTCAAAGTCACTTAAATCACCTTTCTTCCCCATTCTGAAGCTCGGTTTGAACTGCAGCAGATCGTCTTGACCGTGTCAACATGCCTAAATACATTGAGTTGCCACCATGTGATTGGCTGATTAGTGATTTGCATTAACGAGCAGTTGGACAGGTGTACCCATTAAAGTGGCCAGTGAGTGTATGTCTTGGTTCATTTGCAGCAACCTCTTCTCCTCAGCTCTCCAGGAATAGAACAGAAGAGTTTTTAGCCTCAGTGTGGATTACCAGCCCTTTTCTGATTCATATGAAGGGTCCAAGACAGATTCAGACAAGGATTAAATTGTTACCATGGAAACAGATAGTGGTACTTTGAAATGAAGCGTTTTATCGGTTTTACTTTGTGCTAAATGCCTTCTTACTGGTTGAACCCAAGCCCCCACAATGTGGGTGAAAAACTGAGACCAACGCGGAAGTGGCAAAAATTGCAGTTCCACCCTCATCCACTAGGGGCTGGTGTCAGAAGTGAGCAAATCCTCATTGACTCCCATGTTAAAAATAACAATTTCACAGCAGAAATAAACATGTTTACAGCCTGGTACCAAAACATGTTTTTTGTTTAAATGATCTAGTTTACACTCATGACAACTCTGAGGGGGGTGAATTTTTTTCTCACTCTTCTGTTTAAGTGTATTAAAAGCCTAAAATTCTGTATAATTAATGAGCATCCGACCCATGTGACCACAGAGCTAGCTCCATGGAAAGGCCTCAGTAGAGCCTCAGTCTGGCTTGGAAACTGCTCCGGGATTTTGAGTCTCTGTGTTTGTGTATTCTTTTTTTGGATATTTTTTGTGCAATTGTTGGACAAAATGACTTGCTGTGGCATTAATTGCACTAATAGAGCGTCCAAGGAGTCTCCACTTCATTTTTTCTGTAAGTAAAATTATATTTATGTATTTTAGGTCACTGCCGAGCTGAGCTTAGATTTTAACATGTACTGTTTAACCATGAAATTTAAATGTAATAGGGTAAAACCCAGTGCATTTAACATAATGCTGCACTTTAGAAAATGGGTTGAAATATAACATGTTGGTGGAGCTGGGTTCCCACTATCGGCTTGTGGACCTCTCAGGAGACCTCTGTTTTCCACCCGGTTCTCCCCTCCCCACAGCTCGGCGCATCTCTGTCTGATCGCGGCTTCTGTCTGCTGCGCGGGCTGCCGGCTTGTGGAGCTCTGGGATGGAAACCTTTCCACCCGGTTCTCCCCAGCAGCAGCTCTGCGCATCTCAGATCGCAGCGGCGCTTGTCTGCTGTGCGGCTGCCGGCTTGTGGAGGTCTCGGGAGACCTCCGTGTTCCACCCGGTTTTACCCAGCGGTCAGCCCGGTGTACCTCTGACTCAGAAGCTCTGCTGTTGTGCACAGTTAACTCCGGTTGTAGCTAGGTTGCTACCTCCGTTAGCTTAGCTCCCTCCTCCACATTAGCTTTGGGTTAGCTTCAGGTTAGCTTGTAGCTAGTTCGACCGGGTGTCGTCAGTTGATCCCAGCCTTACAGCCCCACCCTCAGCTCCTCCTCTCTTCCCTTTTGTGGAATTGTCTGGGCTTGATGGAATCGGTGACACGGTCAAAATGGCGGTGGTGGCCACCTCCCATTTTAGCATAAAAACATATTATTGGAGCCTATGGAAACCCATTGTCCAATATTTATACGTGGATGGTTGAACCGGAGGTCATGGGAGCCCATTTACTCATTAAAGCAGCTAAAATAATACCAGGTGTTTCAGTTAAACGAGTCAACCAGGTCCTGTCTCAGTTTCGCCACAGGGTGTCTTCATTTGATCACAATTTATTTTATAGAAAGGAAGAGAAATAATTTGTTTCTTGCAGATTTATTTAATTATTTTACAACATTTTTCACCTGTTTGATTATTATTTCTGTCTGGGTTTTTGTCCTATTATGGAGCGTTTATCTCCTTGTTTGCACAAGTCTCAGGAATACAAACCAAAACTGATCCTGATGTTTCCTGCCCTCTCCTCTCCCAGTGTGCCCTGCTAAATGAGAAACTGGACTCTCTGGTCAAGGCCTTAAGCGAGGAAGCAGAAGCTCAGGTACTCTCATCTGATTTAGTGGTTTGTTAGTGAAGTTTCTAAACAGGAAAGTCTAAATTAAAATTAATTTGATTTAAACTGATCATAAACAAATGCATTCCGGTTGAAAAGGAGGAGGAAAATTATCTTCTTACAGTTTCCTGGTTGGGGTTAAAATGCTGAGAAAAGTGATGAAAATTTGGTATTAAAGACAAAATATTAACAAAAAAGAGCTTTTCAAGCTAGGAAGGAACCCCATTGTCCTCCTAAAGCAGACAATCATCTTACGGTTATCATTGTAACTAAGGGTTATGGCTATCATTGTTATTAAGTATTAATTACATGTCTTCCCTCCTACAGCAGCAGAACTGATATCCTTCAAAATAAAAGCCTCAAAAAACACAAATATCCCAAAATAACAATAGTTATTATTAGTTGTTGTTGTTGTTGTCGTTAGGACCGACGGTTAAAGGCATCTTTTATATTGGCTAGTTAGCTAAATCTGCATGAAAAACTCTTCAAAATAAGAGCTTCAAACAGCCATAAATACTTCAAACTAATACTTTTTTTGTTATGTTATTGGTATTTTCATTGTTATAGGTATGATTTTTCTGGGGTATTTAGCTAAGCCAGTGGGAAAAACTCTTAAATAAAATAAACTACTTACAATAAAATAAGTAAAAATACAAATAAAATGAAAAAATGTATTACGGAATATTTTATTTCTCAACATGTTAGAGTGGTCTATAAAGGCTAGTAGGTACATTAATAAGTTTATTTAGGGAAAAACAGACTCGTTATGTTTTACTCTTCCTAAGCTGGTTTTCGTCTCCTTACAGGACCCAACCAACACACTGTGTGTCTTTTTGTGCCTCTGCTCCCAGAGGAGTTTATTTTATTATCCAGTCAGATTTATGTGCAGGAAGGATGAAGCGCAAAGCCCAAAATGATGTCAGCATCATTTCACGCTCCTGCTCACTAAAACTGGATGTTTGGGTGATTTTAGGCTCTGGTCCTGTTGCAGCTCCGCCTGTAGGTCAATAGTAGTCTGAGACGGGGAGAGGTCTTGATGTTTTGTGGCTGTGATGCAGCTCTAAGTACGTGTTTGCTTTAATCCAGGTGGTACCGGCCGGTTCAGCTCCAAGCCAAGAGAGCGGTGGTTCGAGCCCTGGTGAAAGCGGGGGCGAGTCGGGTTCAGAGGGTAAGACGTATCGGTCCAAAGAGCAGCTGATGCTTCGAGCCAACAGCCTAAAGAAAGCCCTGAGGCAGATCATCGAGCAGGCTGAGAAAGGTACCGCCTCCCTCCTCCTGGTGTCACGGTAACCCCACAAGAAAACTGATCAGGGCTCGTCATTTCAGTGGTGGACGAGCAGAACCGACACACGCAGGTCCAGAGGATGTCATCGTCGTCCTCCATCAAACGGGAGAACAGCGAGGAGCTGAAGGAGGCGGAGCCACGTAGGACAAAACTGTACTTTACGTTTTTCAGACACAAACAACCTGATTGAAGAAGCCTAATGTTTGTGATGATGACCTGCAGGTCCAGGAGGTCTGAGCCCCACGTCCCCCATCGTCTTAGAGAAACCAGAGAGCCTGAACACCGTCGCCTTCAGCGAGGACTCCATGTAAGTGTGTGTGTGTTTGTGTGTGTGTGTGTGCGCACGCGCGCGTGCGTGTGGGTGTGCGCATCATCATGCATTAACTAACTGCTCACACATCTGCAGACAGTGCACAGAGAAGTGTGTGATGAATAATTACTTCGGCATCGGCCTGGACGCCAAAATCTCGCTGGAGTTCAACAACAAGAGAGATGAGCACCCCAAAAAGTGCAGGTGTGTGTGTGTGTGTATGTGTGTGTGTGTGTGTGTGTGTGTGTGTGTGTGTGTGTGTATGTGTGTGTGTGTGTGTGTGTGTGTGTGTGTGTGTGTGTGTGTGTGTGTGTGTGTGTGTGTGTGTGTGTGTGTGTGTGTGTGTGTGTGTACCACATTATGGGAACAAGTGTTCATGTTTAACCTGTAAAGTGGGGACATTAGTCTGGTACCCCAGGGTGAAAACACCCTAATCTTGGTTTTAGAGGTCTGCTTAGCTTCTAGTCAGGGTTGGGCTAAGGCATTAGACATGTTGGTGTCTTCCTGAAACCAGATCTGACTGGTTGTCTCCACCTGCAGCAGCCGCACTAAGAACATGATGTGGTACGGAGTTCTGGGGACCAAAGAGCTGGTCCAGAAGACCTACAAGAACCTGGAACAGAGAGTTCAGCTGGAGGTGGGAGACTCCAAAACCAAACATGGATCCGGGTCTGTTCCACTGATGGCCTCTGACCTCCTGGTTTCTTCTCCCCTCAGTGTGACGGGGTTTCCATGTCCCTGCCGAGCCTGCAGGGCCTGGCTGTGCTCAACATCCCCAGCTACGCAGGAGGGATCAACTTCTGGGGCGGCACCAAGGAGGACAATGTGAGTCATCAGGATCCAGACCATGTCGGGTTCTGGTTAGAGCCATCGGTTCTGATCGGGTTTTTGCTTCTGCAGAACTTTGGCGCTCCGTCGTTCGATGATAAGAAGCTGGAGGTGGTGGCGGTGTTTGGCAGCATGCAGATGGCCATGTCCAGGGTCATCAACCTGCAGCACCACCGAATCGCACAGGTAACTCGTTTATTATTTCAGATCAAACTCAAGTCAAAGATCCCTCTCTGGACTGACTAGAACCAAGTCTAACTGGTGTGTTCATAGGTAGATGTGATTTAAATGGAGGAAGTGTGTTGAACGTCTCCACCAGACTTCCAGTAATGTCTTTACATTTATTTTTATCATTTCCGGCTCATATCGACATCCCATAACCAAAACATCCAGATCCTCTAAAACCTTTAAAACAAAAACTAATAATTATCTTATTGCTCATCTTTACAGATGCGAGAAAAAAAAAGATTTCTTTTATCTCAGGAAAAAGAATTCAGATTTCAATCTCAGAATTTCTTTTTTTGTGTTCTTCTCAGAATAATAAGTGGCCCTAATCCTCATCTGTGTTTCTGTGACATCATAATGATGTTTTCTCTAACGCTGCTGTGACAGTCGCAGCTCGAAAAGCTCCAGTGGGCTGAGGGAAAGTAGCTCTTTGGGTTGTAAAATGAATTCACGTCAATAAATTATATTCAAAACTGCTTTAACTCATTCACTGCCAGCCGTTTCCTGATCGCTAACGGCCTTCGCTGCCAGCGTTTCTCACCCTTTTTACTGTTTTTTTAAGAGTCACAGAACGTTGCGCGCTAGCATGATGTCGATGCCAAAACAAAGAGGAGACTCACCTCTTACATCAGGAGGAAGCCACGTGTTTCGAGCGTTATCCGTTCTTTCGTAATCCGTTGTCGAATTGTGATCGGCAGACGCTTTTCCGGTTCGCGCCTCACTGTTTTTTACAGGAACGGCCCAAAACGATCTCCTAACACATGGATGTGTTGCTTCCTGATCATGTGATCTGCGACGTATGCCGATGAAGATCGGCTTCAGGGCTGAGATGTTTGTTCTCTCAGTGCGGGGGCTCGTTCCGATGCTCAAACGGTAAATAAAATGCAAATGACGACTTTAGTCGTCATTGGCAGTGAATGAGTTAATGATCCCAGAGGGAAATTACACCGGGATGTAACTCAATATTGTTAAAATTAATAACAAAATGGAAAACAGTTCATTTGAAATGATTAATTGTAACATAACATTTAATAGGAATTGTAGGATTAATAAATAACTTCAATGTTTTAAGGAAGATCAGTTTAATTATTACTAATAAGTGAAGTTTATTTATGCAGCACTTAATAAATAAGACCCAACACGAGGATTTGCTTTCACTAATTCAATCTGAGGAAACAGAAATGCCACTGGATTAATTCCAGTCAAGAGGATATAATGTAGGAGCCTTCACTAGAGGGAGGAGCAACACCCCAACAGTTCCAGTCATGCCAGGATTTAAGGCAGAACTTTTAACAAAAATAACGTATTCAGCTTAAATCTTTAATATAAGTGGACGACTCATCTGCTGCTACATCAGCTGAGGAGCTATAAAAAAAGAATCTTCTTGTGTTCATTACTGATCCACGTAGAGGTCTGATGGCTATCTTCTCGTTCCCCAGTGCCGGCAGGTGAAGATCACCATCCTGGGGGACGAGGGCGTCCCCGTGCAGGTGGACGGAGAGGCCTGGATCCAGCCTCCTGGCATCGTGAAGATCGTCCACAAGAACCGGGCCCAGATGCTGACCAGAGACCGGGTGGGTCCACACGGGAACCCCTGCTGTGCTGCTGACACACACACTTTATTGTGTTTGTGTTTCCAAAGTAAACAGGAGAGGAGAGGAGAGCTCGTCCTGCTTTCATGAAGCCACTCTGCTTGCTGACTCTTTCTATTTTGGGACTTCTTTAATGGAATCTGTCCCTGTGTGGGTGTGTCTTTATGCATGTGTGTGTTTTCTTCCTGCTGCTCAAACCCCTTAGCTCTCCTGAGCTCGGCAGCATCCGTTGGTTTCCATGGTTTCCCTCCTGATGGCTCGGCATGTTTAGCCTCAGCAGCCTAACCTGCATTCAGGGACTTGTTGACGTTGCTGCTGCTGGACGTGACTTCTTACTTCCTCCTTTATCCAGGAGCTTTCATCTTTGTGTCCTCAAAAGCATCAAAGACTCTTTCTCTAGAAGTTTCTGCCCATTTCTGCCTCTGTTAGGCCTTTGAGAGCACGCTCAAGTCCTGGGAGGACAAGAGAAAGATCGACAGCTACCGCGCCGCCAGGCCCCGCCTCAACTCCCAGCAGTCCATGGAGTACCTGACGGAGGAGGAGTGCGCCCAGGTGCAGCAGCTGGGCCTAGTGGCTGACACGCTCATCACCAAGTACGTGCTGCTTCCTGTTACCTCATGCGGTCACAGCTGGAGTCAGCCCTGGAGGATTAGAGGGTAGTTTTAATGAAAGATCGTAGACAGAAACAATGGATACACCAGTTTTCTGGTTGGTTTATCTGGTAATTAGAGGCTACACCGCTTTTCAGAGATGAATACAAGCAGAAGACAGTTTTGTTTTTTACTTCCTGCCCAGAATCCAAGAGGCAGCAAAGACCCACAAGCTGGTGGAGCAGGAGCTGGCTCACGCCGTCAACGCCACCGCCCTGGTGCTCACCGAGGCCAAAGTGTCCAGTCAGGAGGTATGAGTCGGGTTAGACAGATGGGTGACAGAGAAGGAACATTTCAGCCATATGCGACCTCAGAGCAGGGTTCAGACAAGGAGTCATGTGTTATTCTATGTGTGTGTGTGTGTGTGTGTGTGTGTGTGTGTGTGTGTGTGTGTGTGTGTGTGTGTGTGTGTGTGTGTGTGTGTGTGTGTGTGTGTGTGTGTGTGTGTGTGTGTGTGTGTGTGTGTGTGTGTGTGTGTGTGTGTGTGTGTGTGTGTGTGTGTGTGTGTGTGTGTGTGTGTGTGTGTGTGTGTGTGTGTGTGTGTGTGTGTGTGTGTGTGTGTGTGTGTGTGTGTGTGTGTGTGTGTGTGTGTGTGTGTGTGTGTGTGTGTGTGTGTGTGTGTGTGTGTGTGTGTGTGTGTGTGTGTGTGTGTGTGTGTGTGTGTGTGTGTGTGTGTGTGTGTGTGTGTGTGTGTGTGTGTGTGTGTGTGTGTGTGTGTGTGTGTAGTGTCTGAGTCGCAGCACAGCAGTGGAGATCGTCAACAGCAGCAAAGTCCTGCAGGCCGAGACCAGGATGCTGCTGGACGCAAAGCTCCTGGTATGACTCGTGGGAATCGGTCCTGATTAAACTTGTCCGCGATTAGCATTAGCAGTAGCTAGCTGTAGAAATTAGCATAATTCTGTTTGATAGAACATAATAAACTTGTTTAACAGGTGTTTAGTCACTGCTGTGGAGATACTGAGGGAAAACAGCAGATGTTGGTCTTTCAAACCTGCAACTGACCCTTTTGTTGGTCTGCAGTCGGACTCTCCGGAGGAAGAGGAGCTGCGCTCAACTCTGAACAGCCTCAGTGCTGAGCTCCACAAGCTGGACGACATCCACTGGATCTGTCCGCTCATGCAGTGCTCCGAGGAGGCGGTGTGTTATCACACACACACGCACACACACACGCACACAGCCAGCCGAGTGCCATGTCTAAATGTGTGTGTGTGTGTGTGCGTGTGTGTGTGTGCGTGCATGTGTTTCAGGATTCGGTGAGGAGCAGCAGTAAAGGCAGCAGCAGCATGATGCTGAAGATCATGCCTAAAACCAAGAAGGAGAAGGAGAAGCTTCACAAGCAGAAGTCCAACAGCTCTCTGTCAGGTGAGGGCCCCAGCAGAACGTTAACAGCTCAGCGGCAAGAACACTTCAGTAGTTATACAGAGAAGATGACGAAAACCATTGTTTGTTTACAGGACCAGCTTACAGAGTAATTAAAACATAAGATAGAACGTATAAAAACAGAGGAGAATATTAATAATTAATGATGACATCATTATTTTTCCATTAAATGTTTTTTTAGCTTTTTTTTTTGATAAAGTTCTGATCCATAAAAATATTTTTTCTAATTGTTGTTAAAGCAGAAATCTGGAGTCTTATCTCAGAGGGCGCCACCTAAAGGTGGTTAAAATGTATTGCACATCTAAGCTCCTCCCCCTGCTTATCTGATCTTGCTGTAACCAAAGCCTCTATCGTCAACATGGACCTCTAGAACAGCAATCGTTGTTCCTACATGATGCTGCTGCATACGTGCAAACTTATCGCTTTCTGGGGGAAAGTTGCCACTTTTGAAGCTAAAAATGGCATTCGCGTGAATCGTATGGATCCAAAGAGTACCTGTTTTGGGGTGGTCTTTGGTCGGGTTTCTGTCATTCTCTATGAGAATCTATTGTTGTAGCGCGTCACACGTCTTGTGATTCATGGGGGCAGCTGCTGGGGGGCGCTGCTTTAAGTTTTCACCTTGTTCACACCCTCTGAGGTTGCAGGTGTGATGCTGTTGACTTGTCTATCAGAAAGGTCGCCAACTCTGCGTTAGACATTCGAGCTGAACGTGTAGATCCTACCATCATAAAGTCTTTGCCAGTCTTTGATGCTCTTTTCACCAAGTTGAGTCATGGGCTTTTCTGTGGTGGTGAAGGAGCTTGAAGCTGGTCCATGGCTCTTTGTGTTTCCGGAAACAGGCGTGCACAGGCTTTGCGATTAACATCGGTATGTAAGGTCTAACGCAATTGGCTAATTAGCAAAACCAAATGGATGTACTGCCTACATTATGTCATAGTACAGGGTAAGACGATAACTTTGTCAGGGTTGTAAGAAACATCTCGCATAATCCCTGAATATTGGAAAACCATCTGTTGACCTGAGATCACCTCTCCTCTCCTGCAGGAACGTGGGACATCAAAGGAGGAACCTCTGAGGTGGATTCCTCGGGCAACTGACATTCTACCCTCACTCACCAGAAGGGGGCGGCACCCCTCTTAACCTCTCTCACTAAAATCATGATGTCCTGGGGCGTCACACAGGTGTTAGACACACAAGTTAGACCCTCTTCCCAACGTTTCAGCTTTGGCTCAGTTTTACCTCCTTTGAAGTTTTGTTTGCCAACCGAAGGATTTTGGTTCTGATATATTTTTTTCTGAGTGGGCCTTGCTCTGTCGTTGTTTGTTTTGTGGGCGTGGCCAGCAGCAAATGAAAGCAAACAACAAAACCAGGGAGGTGTGGATGAAGCGTGGTGCTGTCCTTGCATGTCACGTTTAACTAATCTATTTTACTTAAGTGGTTACAGATTTAGATTTGTATGTTTCCTAACTTCTGATCAGCCTTCCAACTGCGTATTTATTTATTTGTCGTCGCTGCTGCCATGAGAACCCTCGACTGCAACGAGTATTCAGACGGAACAACCTGAGGGATGATTCAGCGTTTTTCTGAGCTGGAAATTAACTTAAACTGTTGCAAAAAAAAAAAAAAAAAAAAAGAGGAATGTAGTTGTGTGGACTTGTATCTACCTGTGAATTATGATGTTCATAAAGGTTCTTGTGGTGGTTCTCTAGTGGACTCGTGTGGTCCCAGGCTTTGCAGTCACGTTGCAAAACAAACTGTTGTGAGCTCTTTCTTTAGGAACAGTGAAATAATCCCAGGGTGGGATCTCCGTGGGAGTCGCCTCTCATCCTGCATGCTCTACACTTGAATCATGAAGGTACAGAAACCAGATGACAGCATGTTTTTGTTTTCTTTTTGGTGAGTGGAGGTGTTTACAGAAGGAGCATCAGGGGCATATCAACTAAAACTTTGCAGCTTCTTAATGTATTGCTCTTATTTTGACATTCTGAATGATTGTATCTGTAATATAAGAATAAGGGATAAGATGTATTTAATTTTTTTGCCTTGTCTGTGGTTAAAACTTATTATTATTACAAATATATCTATATTTTTTGTATATCTTATTTTTCCAAATGGTAATCTGTGAAGCTGTCCTGGCTTTGCTGCTTCCCCCTTTGAGAAACTCCTGAACAATCACGCATATCAATGCTGTTCTGTGTCCTTGCATGCCTAACTTAAGCCTTCCTTCGCCTCACAGTGGAAAACGCCTCAAAAAAGGGAGACTGTGCAAACTTTAGTAGTGTTTTCAGAGCGGTCTCAAGAGAAAACTTAGAAATGGAGAAAATATTAAATCACATGCAAAAAAATATTAATTTTCTGACATAATATAGATGTAATTAGTATGCACTTATTATGTAGTACCGTAATAAATAAGTATAGTTTTAAATGAAATGCCCTGCAGGGCAAAGTCATTAAAAGTATGTGTTTATACCTCTACTCTATGCATTTTGTTGCCAAAAGAGGACCAGCACTGGTTCTTAGATTGTTGGTTGGGATTTAGAACAAATTTTAATTTGGTTAAATTACGACACAATGTTGATCAAATTCCTCTTGTGTATTAGCCAAAGGGACAGAAGCTAAAAGGTCAAATTTCATTAGAATTATCATGTAGGGTCAACGTATTTAAAAAGTTAGCGTTCCAGTTGTTGGCAAAGATAGCATAGCTACCTGGAGTCGAGGAGTAAAAGGTGTGATGGAGTATGCATGTGTAGAATTGGATGGATAGGAGGATGGTATACAAACTATGTACAGGAGAACCTTGAAAGATGAGAATATGGTGTAAAAGTTAATTTGTCAGTAATTCAACTTAAAAGGTGAAACTGATATAGGAGAGACTCATTCCAGCTAGATATTTCAGCTTTTATTTATTATAATTGTGTTTATTATGGCTTACAGCTTATGAAAACCCTACATTAAAAATCTCAGACAACTGCAATATTGTGAAAATGTTTAATATTCTAGACTCAAAGTGCACCATATTTTAATTTTTTTTATTTCACCTGTATAAAGTATGGAATGTGTGTACACGGCATGGTATGGTATATTAACAGTATGTGTACATGGTATGGTATGAAATGTATAAATTGTATAGTAATGGTATGTATGTATAGATGTGGATAATTTGTAAACGTAGTTAAGCTCCAGTGACCTACTACTATAATTCAAAAGCTGTCAAAATGGTTTCAAATCCAGCTCTTCTAAAGAACTTTGACCCCTTTTAGTTTCTGTCTGGTTGCACGATTCATGTATTGTTGAGGTTAGCTAAACTAAAATAGGTGCTAAGACTCGGTGGACAGTAAATTGTCAAGAAAATAAAACATATTTTTAGAACTACAGTTACATTTAAATGTAGACAGCAAATATGTTCACTTTAAATCTAAGACTTGTTAGCTAGCAGTACTAGCTTAAATGTTGACGTTAAAGTTAGCTACAGAGTTGGTCTTTTTTGCAGTGCCTATTCAACATTTTTAAAAGTGTATGAGAGGCCCCTAAAAGCTAATATTTATAACTTAATTTGCTTTAAATTGGTGTCTAAGCAGCTAGATAAATGTTCTATGAGGAGAGCGCGGCGGCGGGTCCCTGTGAGGCGCTGTAGATGTTCAGCTGTGGTAGGATCGTGCTGCTGTATCTGTAGTGTGCCAGCTCTATGCTATACACCTTTGAGGCTTTAGTGGTGTTGTGCCAAGTGTGTACTTTGAGTAACAAGACTTTCAAGGTGTGTGTGTGTGTGTGTGGGTGGGTGGGTGTGGGTGTGTTCATGATACGCTTCATATGCATTTCAATGTTTACTGTACCTTGCCTTGCACTTTATGACACAAATTTAAAGGGGAAAAGACATTTGCATACGTGTGTGTGATTATTTTGAGTGTTTACAAGCTTTTTTAATTGGAAATGGTATTTTATTTTGTGTGCTGGTAACATGTAATATCTAATCGATCGTCATAAAAATGCTAAGTATATAGAGACGTAAAAACAAATGTTTTCTACACCTTACGTGTGATAAGTCATTTCACTGTCAAAGATGTCCTCGCACCAATCAGAGCTAAGATGTTCTAAAAACATAGGCAATTCTAATTTTTGGAAGTTGAAGACAAGATATTAGCATACTTTAGTGTTATTTATGGATTACAATTAAGTTGTTTACACAATGAAGATGTTTAGCTTGTGTTAAGCTGATTTTCTGAGTAGAGTTTTTATTATTGCCTTGAACTGTCGTATTGAAAAAGATTAGTGATATTGGGGTGTGCATATACATAAAAGCCATTTTTGAATAACCGGTTGCCTGTTTTTTAATGATTTTATCGTTTTAAAGAAATATTTTTTGTCCTTATCTTTTGTGTAAGTTATCAAACTTAAAGAAATGTGATTAGTTTTTTGTTTTGTTTTTGGGGAGGGACTCAAACGCCCCCAAGCTCCTAACCTGGAGTAGAGAAGAAACGGTCAGCAGAGGATCATTTTTAACGAATTACAAACACTTAAAGTGCATTTGTGCAACAGTATTTAGAGGAGGACCTTGTGAACCCACCCTTGGACCTGAGACTGTGCACAGAGCCAGAAGTCAGACTAGATGTTGCACGACCTTGTTAAGCTGCGAGGTGTTTTCTTGTGTTATCATGTGGTGTGTAACAAAGATGGTCGGTTCAACCCTCTGCAGATTAAATGATTTATTCAAGTGTGAAAGTGTCTGTTCATCTCGTTTGATCCATCGTGGCCATGAAGGTCTCTCTACAATTATTGGTTAAATGAAAATTACAGAAACTGTTTTTATTTGTTGCTTTAAAAACAAAATGAGTTCAAAACCACTAAATCCCCTCTGGTCAGAGTCACTCCACATCGGCTTCTCCATCCTCCAGGTCTGGCATGTCTTCATATCCCTCCTGGTCTTCTTGCTTCCTTTGCTCCTGTATCTTTCTCTTCTCCTCTTCTGCCCTCATTTTCTCCTCCATCACCCTCTTCATCTCCTCCTCCACCTCCTTCCTTTTTGAATTCTGCATCTCCTGCTGCTTCTTCATCAGCCCTTCAGTAATCTGCTCTGTTATTTTCTGCTGGGTGACTTCGGGCGCCTCTTCCTCGTCCGAGTCGCTGATGTCGTCATCGTTGATGTCCCAGTCTGGCTGGTAAGACTCTGGGATTTCCAGGAAGTCTTCCTCTACGGGTTCTGGTTCAGGTTTGTAGTTCGGGTCCTCCAGTTTGCCCCAGGCCACCTGGTCAGCCTTTCGAAGCGTGATCTCCACTTTGGTTGGGACCATGTTGACAGAACTCTGTTTCACATTGATGACCTGAAAGTTGAAGTAATGAATCTTACGCTTTAATATTCCTCCTACTTTAACAAATTGATCCCAACCAAGGGTCAAGTCAATGCAGCTATTTGGAGACATGTTTTATTGGAAATGGGTGATACGCACCCCCCAGAGGTGGAAGTTTCTTCTGAAAATCTTGTTGCTCTCAAACTGGATTTGACATGAGACCTGCAGAGAGAGGAGGCTGATGAGGGTCAAGTTACATTTGGGGTTTTATGCACATAAAGGCCGTGTCGCATAAGAGGCTCCTGGTCAGACAAAAGCAATCAACTAACAAACAAATTTCCCCACTGTGGGATCAATAGTCTATTGTATAACATAGGAGTATGGCCTAAAGGTCTCGCATAAAAATATGTCAAACTTATTTTTGAAATATGACCGGCTGCAGATGAATGCTGAACATGAATGTTTTCTCAAACCTCCACCCGCATTAGTTGCAGAGCGGAAATGGACAGAAAAAGAAGGCACCAGTCACATTTCTGTCATAGGCAAATTGAGTATTCATGGCCCCGCCCAAATGGGTTGCAACTGCAGGAAACCTTTATTGATTGGGCGAGCATCTCAGCTAGTGGAAGCCATCATTTAATTTATCGTGAATTCAAGCGTTATCACAGCTACCACTAAAGGTCTGATCTTGCAGGAGAAAATGCAAGTGTGCATTCAGATGTTGGCGTTCTAAAATGTTCATTAGCAAATCCTCAGAAAGTGGCTCTTCGACTGCTGCTGGGACTCGGGATCACAGACGGCAGTGCCACCGATGATATTTTGGCCTAACGAAGGGTTTCATTAACAAGAGGAGCGTCTTGTTGGTGTGTGCCAATCTGTGGCACAGCAAACGACTCATTCATTCATACTAGAGATCACAGCAGATTACTGGAAAAAAAATAAGTGAGAGACCAATATTGATTAAAATGTGTAGATTTGGGGTTGCAGTGCCCCCTGTGGTGGCTAAAGGGAATAGCATCTTAACAGTATCTTTACTCAAGGGAAATGCTAACAAGCAAAATCACCTTTAGATCAATTATAACAGAAAAACTTAAAAACAAACCTTCAGTTGAACCTGTTTACGTACAAGCTAGCTTTAGCAGGAAGGCGTGTTAACACATTACACACCCACCAGTAATTTTACCTCTTTAAGGTGTGCTAGTGCTAGCTTTCCTGGTCAACACCTTCTGATGTTTTTCCTTTATTTACAACTTTACATGATGGAGCTGTAACGTGAGGAAATATGGGTTTTCTGTACCAAAGGTTGTACTTGGCCCGGCTGGGTCAAAGCTGGGTCGCGCAGAACTTTCACCCACAGAGCGAGTGAGACCTTTGCCGACATGAAGTCTGCAAGAGTCTGTTGCAAACCATAACATCTGCCACCTGCAGTGCCAGAAGATGTTGTTCTCATGGAAGCTAGTCATAACATAACAAAGTCTTAAACTTCCTTTTCTTTATTTTAAATGTTGAATAATCATTATTATCATTTTGCTCATTATAAATGTGTTTTAATCAAATGAATTATTATTATGCTTTGGTTAATCATAACTAATGAGGCAATGCTTAATTAAATAATGTTTGAGGATGTTTGGTAACGACCTTCACGCACACACTCAAACACTCACAAACACACACACTCTCACAGTAAACTCCAAAACACATTTGCTCTGACGCACAAGTTTTGCTTTGAGAAGAAGGTTTTTGGTAAGTTTTCAGTTCTTAATTCTATAAAATTTGGTTATTAATTTATTAAAATTTATTTAAATTAATCCAGCTAAAGATGGCTGCCAAAGCTAATTCACCCTAACTAAGGAGAAAATGGCTAAAGCTAAATTTTACAGATATTTAGCTGACATTTTCTGTTAGTCATTCACAATACGTCTATAATCGTTCAACAAATAATTAGAGCTTAAAACTCAGACGACTTCAGTTATGCTCATGGACAAGTACACGTTCATTTATTTAAGAATCCCCGTTAGTCTTCACCAAAGTAAGAGTAAGAGATTATTCTCAATCTGGAAACAGAGAAAGTTTAAAATTTGATAAAGGAGTTAGTTTAGCATTAATGATGCTCTTAGTTACGCAGCTTACTCTTGCTCTATAACACTGTTATGAATGTTGCTGTGTGATGTGGCTCACCACCGTCTGGTTGGCTTCGATGCTGCAGGAATCAGGGTTTGAGTTCTTGGCGTAAATCGTTAAAACGACGCTATTCCCAGTCTGGTGCCAGTCATATCGACACGCAACCTTCTTCTTGTCCTGTAGACAAACAGCAGTTGGTCACGGAGGAACATTTGGTTCGACCTGAACATCTGTTCTTTCATTTGAGGACCTAAAACATCTAATGTGTCTGTTCCCAGGTGTTGCACCTGCCTGTTTAGGGATCCAGCGGTGTTTTGCTGTGGTGCAGCCCTTCTGGTCCAAGAAAGCGTCAAAATCTGTTGTCTTTATGCAGCAGCAGCTCCAGTATTTATACCTAAACAAAGACTTGATTGGTCAGTAGCAGCTGTGGGATCCAGGGAGGAGAAAACACCAGTCTGATCCCCATGGTGGTGGTAACACTACAGGGATCTGCGGCTAGAGAGCTACTTAAACATCTGAATAGTGTTCTGATTACCCGCCTTTAATTACTCATCAGTTTATGCTCGGATCACTTGATCTACATAGATTAACGTCTCTCTGTAGTAGAATCCATTTAGTTGTTGTCTAAAGCTCACCTGGTGCAGGTGAAAGCTGTAATTATGTTTGCGGTGTTTTGGGAAGACGAGTAAATCATTTTAGTCTCACCCTTCATGGAAGACGGGTGCTCCAGGGTGGTGGGTGCAGGCCTCCAGGTCTGTGTCCGGGCCTTGGTAGATCTGAATGAGACGAGGTGATGTTAGGTAGACCGTCAGGTCAGTAATCAGTAGCTGGCTTGTATTTAATCTAGTTTAATCTAGGGTTATTATTGTTGAAAACAACAATCTAGATTTAAAAAGTTTAAAACAGTTTCCCTCCTTGTTTAAGGTGTTTCACACCAACTTTAGCCTCTCAGACCAGCAGCAGCTGAAGCAGCCTCCAGTCTGTTTTATATTCTAGAGTCAGCAGAAATCCTCCTCCTGTCTGCGTAATATCCCTTTATGTTTCATTAATAAGCCTTTGATGTAACAGCTTCTATAAAGTGGAGCTAATTTTATCCCATTTAACCTGATGGCGTGTTTCATCTGAGCTATCATTTTTATATAGAGCAGCTAGCTGATCACTGCTGGAGGTGTTGTTCTGAGGCCTGACCACTAGATGGAGCTGATGAAGCACATTTGCTGAGGTCTGACAGCTGGGTCAGTGCTGTTGGAGGAGGATGGGGTTTCACATTTAATGGATCAGAGAAAAGCTGCAGCATTGCTATTAAAAACCCTGAATCATAACTAAAGTGACCAATAATCTGGTTTAAAATCAGAGTTTAAAAACAACTGAAGTTAATCAGACTGGATCGTCGTCATGTTTATAGATTTTTATTTCTGTTCTCTTCTGAAGATGTTAGCATACATGCTAAATCTGGGATTTGTTGTTATAACTAATCACTTCTTTTACTTTAGCAGTTTGAACAGAAGAAGATGATCTTTTATGTAGCGCCTCTCAAGATAAAACTCATGAGGCACAAAAAACAAAATTAAAGTATAAAAAGATTTGAAAACTAATTAAAAATATATTTAAAAGGAGAAAAAATTAAACAGTCATGATAGTTAAACTACATGACTGATTCAGGTGATTGATTCTATTTCACTCTGAGCCATGGGAAGGCTCACACATGAAGGGGTGAGCTGTTGTTTTGATTTAAAAAATAAACTAGATTTTTTTTAGACCTCGTTTCCAACGTCGAGCCATAAAGACACAACTTGTTCCCATTTCTTTAACTAGATCTATAAAATACAATAAAATACAATAAACACAGCTTTGCTTTAAGGATCTTTTATTCTTTGTGTTTTATTTTTGAAGCAAATTTGTTTATGAATAACTTACTGTGTGATTTTTCTGTAATGGGTGTTATTTATATCACCTTTATTTATTTACAGCCAGTAACAAGGGGCTTTTAGCTGTAAACTAGGCCTGGTTCAGATAGCTGACGATTCTCATCTTATTTCTTAAAGACAAGATTTTCAGCCATCTTGGGTGGAACGCTCATTTAATCATTACATTTGCAGCTTCCGATTAGCAGTTTTATCTCCTGATATTTGGACATCTCACCCCTGATTGGCTAAAAACAATGCAACTCCAGCTCTGACTCTGTTTGCTCTGCAATATTACTGTTTTACCTCCACAGATAACACAAGCCTGAAGGAGTTCTGCTTTGTGGAGTTCTTAATGCCAACGATTAGCTTCCACTAACTGAGATGTTATCTGCCGTTTCCTGGATGCTAAACCAACAGCATCCTTCCCCGTCGTCAGTCAAGATGGGTGAGTCCATGAATGTTAAGTGACAGTGTGATGTAGATCTGGGATTTTCTAATCCTAGAGTTTCACCATCTGTTTTCCATCAGAAGATAATGCAGGAGATAGGTGTAGGAGACTATTTTCGTGTTCAGCCTGCGGGGAAAACTCAGTGACTGATTCTAATCAGAAATAATCATTAAAAGATGGGTTTCAGTGAACCACACCTTTAAATAAGAATGTACCACATATTGACCTTTGTTGGTCATTATTAACAAATGAGTGTCTGATACATCAAACTGGGTCAAAAGTAACAATAGAGGTTTATTTCACATCTTGTTGTTTGCATGTGTGTTTTTTGGGAAACACACACACACAAACTCACCGTTTTGCAGCCGGTGTTTTTGCAGCGCGTCCCATGCACGACGCTCTGTCCCTCTGTTGGAGAGGACAAGGAGACGTTCAGTCACATCACATCATCCATTTAGGAAACAAAGCTTCAGACTCAGGTTCCAGCAGGAATAAACCTCCCTAAGGTCAGACACTCTGGTGTCATCAAACCGTCTAATTATGTCTTTATGTTTTACGTAGGAGACAAATGTGTTCATGTCACACTAATCAGACCATGACTGCTTTAGAAGCTGCTCTAATGACATAAATATGGTTCCTTTTCTCTGGTCTTAACTTACAGATTCACCTCATCATAAGATGGATGTTGTGTAACAAAGGGATGTGCTGTGACTCCATAGTAAGAAGCTGTTGTTTCCATGCTTGTTAATGGGCAATGAATGCAGCAGAGGTGCATTCAGGAAGCGTGGGAACTAACCTTTTTGCTCTGCTTCTGTTCTCTGGTTGATGCCCAGCTTCTCCAGCGCCTGGACCAGTGATGCTGACACTTTGTAGGGCAGCTTGGTCATAGGCTCCTCCGAACTGCTCTCACACACACACGCACGCACGCACGCACGCACACACACACACACACACACACACACACACACACACACACACACACAGGTGCTACAGAAGCAGGCCTGCAGGCTGGTCCAAGCTGTTACCCTCTGCATTATTTATTCTAGCGATGCAGCAGCCAGTCTCACTCTGACCTCCCTGAATCAATTCTTACTCAACAGGAACCAGACAAACAGGGATGTCTGAGCAAACTGACGACCACCAGCTGAGAGTGAATCCTCGTCACACACCTGGGTCTCTCTCTCTTCAACGCCTCGGCTGATTTGGGACCCTGGTAGATGATCTCCTGGTTGTTGGTGTGTTTAACGTCGGCCTTATCTGACAGCACCTCCGGTCTCAGAGGCTCCTGGGGCTTCACGTTGCTGTGGCGCCCGCGGCTGCAGCCCTGTGGTCCAGCCAACCAGAAGTCACGTTAGATCAGGAGTTCCTTGTGTTCAGATGACTCATGAGAAATACTTCTAGAAAAATCTTAAAACGTGAACGAAAAGTGTGATTATGGCTGAACTGACACCCACGCCAGTTTTCACTCCGCTCCATCTGATAAAGGTCATTTGTGTCTGAGCTGACCTGGTCTACATCAGAGAACATGTGAACTGGTGTGAAGCTGACTGGAGACTGGACTCAAAACTACATCATACTGGAGAAGAACACCGGGACATCCTTTTTTGTTTGGCGCTGGTTTTTCCAGTCTTGTCCAAAACACGAGTGTCACTGTTCTTAAGAGTGTTTCCGTGTCTTTAGCATGTTCAACACGTTTGAAGACTTAATTCTGCTTTTTCAATTCCATT